CGCCCTCGACAGCATCTCTTGCATTTCCCGCACCTCTGCCCTCACATCCCCTTCCCCGCAACAAAAACAAAGACAGAATTCCCCTTGTCCTCACATATCACCCACTAACCTCCGGATTCAATGTATCATTCTCCGCCACTTCCAATCTGACCCCACAACCAAAGAGATATTTCCCTCCCCATACCCCTATCTGCCTTTTGTAGGGACCGCTCTCTCCGCGACTCCTTTGTCCGCTCCACACTCCCCAATCACCCCAACACCGCCGGCACCTTTCCCTGCAACTGCAGGAAGTGCTACACCTGCCCCTACACCTGCCCCTACACCTCCATTCAAGGCACCAAACAACCCTTTCACATCAGACAAAGGTTCACCTGCACATCTGTCAATGTGGTCTACTGCAACTGCTGCTCCCGATGTGGCCTCCTCTACATCGGTGAGACCAAGCAGAGGCTCGGAGACCGCTTTGTAGATCACCTACACTCTGTTCATGACAAACGACAACACCTTCCAGTTACAAACCATTTTAATGCCCCCTCCCCCACTCCTTGGACGACATGTCCATCCTGGGCCTCCTCCAGTATCACAATGATGCTACCCGCAAACTGGAGGAGCAACGTCTCATATTCCGCCTTGGGGGCCTACAACCCAATGGTCTCAATGTGAACTTTACCAGTTTCAAAACCTCCCCACCCCCGGCCTCATTCCCTGACCAACCCTTCATCTCATCTCCCGTCTCCTTGATCTGACACAACCTGTCCATCTTCTCTCCCACCTATCCTATCCTCCCACCTCACTGACCAATCCCCACCACTCCCTACCTGGACTCACCTATCGCCATCCCACTTACCTTTCCCAGTCCCACCCCTCCTCTCTCTATTTATTTTGGAGCTCCCTTACCCCTCCCCCATTTCTGAAGAAGGGTCCCGACCCGAAACGTCAGCCTTCCTGCTCCTCTGATGCTGCCTGGCCTGCTGTGTTCATCCAGCTCCACACTGTGTTATCTTTGGCAATGTGAGTTTTGTTTTATCAACTGGCTTGCCCCTGTGAATGGCAAAACATGGGGCACAAGGCTCTTGAAGTTGATTCAGGTCCGTCTCATCCCGGGGTCACTGGGAAACATAGAAACATAGAAGATAGGAGCAGGAGTAGGCCATTCGGCCCTTCAAGCCTGCTCCTCCATTCAATATGATCATGGCTGATCACACAACCTCAGTATCCCGCTCCTGCTTTCTCTCCATATCCCTTGATCCCTTTAGCCACAAGGGCCATGTCCAGCTCCATCTTGAATATATCTAATGACCAAGCCCCAACGGCTTCCTCTGGGAGAGAATTCCACAGGTTCACAACTCCCTGAGTGAAGAAATTCTTCCTCATCCCTCAGTCCTGAATGGGAACCGGGATGGGGGTCCACAGAATTCAGCCCAGTCTTCCTGCTGTCTGCGTCACTGGACCGACCCTGTCCAAAGCACAGGTGTTAGGTTCGAGCTCTGTATCTCCTGACTTCAGGAGAACTGTTTGATACCGTCACTGGAAGAACACTGACACGCAGGGCCTTAAATCATGAGGAGAGATTACATTGACCAGGATTCAAGGTAGAATCGAGATTTTTGACCCAGGAGGGATGTCCCCAACCCAAAAAAAATGTCAACTGTGATTCACCTGCGATTTATAGAATCATACAGCACGGAAACAGACCCTTCGGCCCAACTAGTCCATGACCATAATCCCAAACTAAATTAGTCCCACCTGCCTGCACTTGGCCCGTATTACTCTGAACCTTGGCTTTTTATGACAAATGATGGGAGCTCCATGTTCAGCATTATGGACATTATCTTTCAATTCTGGAGTTTATTCATTCATTTTATTTTTTTAAATACCTCCAGCTGCTCACCCCCCCACCAAAACTGCAGAGATTCCAGGGACAACAGGAGGCCATTCATCCCCTTGGGGCTGCTTACCCATCCAGCTAAGTCATGGCAGATCCTTTCGCTGAGAACTGACTCCATCGATAATTTTCGAATCAACCCAATTCAGAGGTGCCAAGAGCAAGTGGGATTTGAACCTGGAGCCTCCTGGCTCAAGATAGGGAACACTGCCACAAGAGATCTGACTCCATTCCCTTTGTTACCGTCACAACTATCCCAGACCCTGGGAACCTGTTCTGTTGCGGCGATGCTTCAGTCTATTCTGCATTGGGCCACAAGAGGGCAACATTGTCCACATGGCCATGAATAGTCACTGCCCCCCACCCCCTCCAGACCCTTTAAATCTGTCCCATATATTTCCTCAGAGAGATTTATAACCAGGATCCCCATCATTGACACTCCAGTGAAGGTGGCTCATTGGAGTTCATGCCCAAATGCCACAATCCAGGCCAACCCTTCAGTGTCGGGGTCAAGAGAGTCTGTGCCCACACACTTGATGATTTGCCTGTGTGTCGCCCCTCTGCCATGGCGTTGTACTTCACAGAAACAGACCTTTCGGTCCAACTTCTGAAGAAGGGTCTAGGCCCAAAACGTCAGCTTTCCTGCTCCTCTGATGCTGCCTGGCCTGCTGTGTTCATCCAGCTCCACACTGTGTTATCTCTTCGGTCCAACTCGTCTATGCCAACCAGATATTCTAAGTTAATCTAGTCCCATTTGCCAGCATTTGGCCCATATCCCTCTAAACCCTTCCTATTCATGTACCCATCCAGATGCCTTTTAAATGTTGTAATTGTACCAGCCTCCACCACTTCCTCTGGCAGCTCATTCCATACATGCACCACCCTCTGTGTGAAAAAGTTGACCCTCAGGTCCTTTTTAAATCTATCCCATCTCACCTTAAACCTATGCCATCTCGTTTTGGGTTCCCCTACCCTGGGGAAAGTATCTTGACTATTCACCCTATCCATGCCCCTCATGATTGTATAAACCATAACAAGTTAGCATGAGGTTACAGCCAATAATATGGATGGCAAGTGGGCTGGAGGCCTTCATACAAAGTGTATGAAAATAGGCAGCTGTCTCCCCCACAGCATGGGGCATTGGTCAGAGAACCTGCAGGGCTGTACGTGCACTTATTTATCGCTCAGGGAGAGAGTCAGTACAGTCACTGTGGGCTGAATGGCCTCCTTCAGCTGTCCTATTTGGTCTTCTTTAAGTGAGGGGGACGGGGAATGCATTCACATTGGAAGCGGTTCAGAGAAGGTTCACAAATTCCCGGGGGCTGGAGGGGCAGGGTGGGATTGTCTTACAAGGAAAGGGATCAGCATGGGAATAGTCACCGGCATTCAGAAGGCTGAAGGGGTTAGTAAGATCCCGAAGGGCCTGGAGCAGGGTAGATGCTGAGAGGATGTTGATGTGGGTTTTGGGGGGTTGGGGGCAGATCTCTCCTCCGGGCCAATTCTCGAGGGAAAACAGGGTCCACGGCCTTGTTGAATATCACAGGAGGTGGATGGGCCGAACGGCCTACGCCTGCTCCTACTTTGTACTGCTCATCCCTCGTTGGCTATTCCACCAGGAGGCCCCTTGCAGCTATTCGTGCCTCTGCTCGCACGTGGCATCTCACGAGCCCCTCAGTGAGGGACAAGGGGGTGGGTGTTGGGGGCGAAATGGGGAATGGATGGATTACTGACATGCAGGAAGGGGAAAGGGGAATCCACTGGATTTTTAACCCCTCCTCCATCACAGGGGTGGGGAGGAGGGGGGCACCAAGATCACTTGCAGGTGGCTTGGTGAGTGCCTGAACCAAACCCCACCTGCCCCCCACCCCCTGCAAACCCCCCACTCCCACCACAACCAGACGAAGTTGACCGATATTTCATTGCAAAGGTAACTCACCTGAAATCAGGAAGGGAGAGGGGCAGGCCGGCGATTGAGATACTGGGAACCCAACTTCAAATCCCAGCTATTCCTGAGGTGTCTAACAACGTGCCTGCACAGGTTGATTAGAAAATACCAGTCCTGTAGCTTAAGGGGTATCGTCGCACAGTGGTAATGTGCATACCTCTGAACCAGGAGACATGGGCTCAAGACTCTCCCCCCACCCAACCCTGCTCCTGATCAGGTTGACTTTAGGAAAATAATCAAGAGATTTAACACTCTAGTGCCAACAACAACGACCTGTCTTTCTATAGTACCACCAAGGTACCAGACTAGGAGCTTATTCTGACAAACATTAGTCACTGCTGGACCATACTATGATGTGGACTTTGTAACGGAGGGGAAAGTTGGAATATCAAACCATCTCTGCAGTGTAAAATAAAACATCCATTCTCACAACATCTGTTTCTAACATAGGTTGGCATTATAGAATCCCTACAGTGTGGATGCAGGTCATTCAGCACATCATGTCTATACTGGCCCTCTGAGGGCATCCCACCATTGCCCTATCCCTGCAACCCTGCATTCCCCATGCCTAACCCTCCTAGCCAGCACACTGTGGGTAATTTAGCACAGCCAGTCCACCCTAAACTGCACGTCTTTGGACTGTGGAAGGAAACTGGAGCCCCCCACACAGACACATGGAGAACGTGCAAACTCCACACAGACAGTCTGTCTGAGGCTGGAATTGAACCTGGGTCTCCAGTGCTGTGAGACAGCAGTGCTAAACACTGAGCCACCTTCAAAAGGTATCGTTCTTTCTCACCTTTAAAAAGAACCTCACGCTGGAATTTCATTTACAAACAGATGACAAATATGGGCCAAAACAATGATGGATCGGATTGCCATGGGGATGGGGCCGTTTGGATGAGATCCCACCACCTCACACTGTATGAATGAGTGGGCCTGAGTCAGTCTCTGTAGCAGAGGGAGGGCATATTGGAACGGGAGAAGGCCATTCAGCCCCTAAAACCTGCTCCACCACTCTGATCTCCACCTCGTCAGCATTTGTAACGCCAAGAGGAATTTGCATTGATGTGGCACCTTCTACTTTTGCTCCCTATTCCTTGACACCCGAGCAGTTAGAACATCACGGTCATCCTTGAAAACCCCAGATGACCCTCAGTCTTTTGGGAGGGGAAGTTCCAGATTTCTGCTCTCCTAATAACACCCCCACGCCCAAAGGTCTTTGTTCTAGTTTTAACTCCCTCTAGAATGTGTGCCTCAGAAAGTGTTTTCCAATAAAGTTCACTCGACCGATTCCTGGGATGAGGGGTTTGTCTTGTGAGGAATGGTTGAGGAGATTGGGCCTAGACTGGTTGGCATTTGGAGGAATGGGTCAGGATCTTATTGTAAGGCTGTGTTGAGAGGACATGTCCCCTCATTGGAGAGACCGGGCCTAGGGGGACACAGTCTGGAAAAAAAATCAACATCAAAATGAAGATGAAGAGGAATTTCTTCTGTCAGAAAGTCATTAATCTTCGGATTTCTCTTTCTCAACCGACAGTGGGGTCTGGCTCATAGAAACTAGGAGCAGCAGTAGGTCATTTGGCCCTTCATTAATACTTGACCATTCACTATGACCATGGCTGCCCCTCTATCTCAATACCATATTCCCCTTTTCTCTCAAAAACTCTTGACACCTTTAATATCTTCAGAATTTCTCTCTCTTTTTCTTAGGTACTGTATATTCAGTGATCTGTCCTCCATGGCCTTCTGCGGTAAAGAATTCCACAAGTTGAAAGCCCTCAGAATGAAGACATGCTTCCTCATCTCAGACCTAAACTGTACCCTGAGACAATGAACAAAATCTGAAGTTGCTGGAAAAGCTTAGCAGGTCTGGCAGTATCTGTGGAGAGACGTCAGAGTTAACGTTTCGGATCGAGTGACCCTTCCTCAGGACCAACATAAGTTGGACAATCCAGAACCAGGGGTAACATCCACCCTACATCTACTCTGTACAGCCCTGGCAGAATGTTACACACTTCAATCAGATTCCCTCTCATCGTTCTAAACTCTGGTCATTACAGGCCCAGTCGAATCAAGCTCTCCTCACAGGACAGACCTGCCATTCCCAGCACCAGCTTCGTGAACCTCCGGTGCACTCCCTCTGTGGCAAGTCTATTGTTTCTTTGGTAGACAGACTAAAACTGCCCTCAGTACTCCAGAGATAACACAGTGTGGAGCTGGAGGAACACAGCAGGCCAGGCAGCATCAGAGGAGAAGGAAAAAGCTGACATTTCGGGTCGGGACCCTTCAGAAATTTCCGAAGAGATTTCTGAAGAAGGGTCCTGACCCGAAACATTAACTTTCTTGCTTCTCTGATGCTGCCTGGCCTGCTGTGTTCCTCCAGCTCCACACTGTGTTATCTCTGACTCCAGCATCGGCAGTTCTTACTATCTCTGAGTGAGTTATAACCCCACTGCGAAGCCTCTTCTCAGGATGATTACCTGGCCTGCTGTGTTCCTCCAGCTCCACAGGTGTTATCTCTGACTCCAGCATCGGCAGTTCTTACTATCTCTCAGCACTCCAGATGTAGTTTCACTAAGGGCCCTGTATAACTGCAGCATGGCAACACCAAGTTGTGAACTCCGTTCCTCTTGCAATGAGGGCCAATATACCATTTGCCTTCCCACTTGTTTGCTGCACCTCCCCTGTTTACTTCCACCAACTGGGGTACAAGAACACCCAGATCCCTCTCTACAACCACGCTTCCCGATACATCACTGTTTAAATAATATGCTGCCTGTCACACCAAAATGTGTAACTTCACATTTAGCCACCTACCCTACAGCTGCTGTATTTCTGCCCACGCACACTGCTCGAGATTGCTCTGTACTCTCGTAGCACCTTCTCACAACCCCACCCAGTTTTATGTCATCTGCAAACATATCGTCTCCTCATCCAGGTCATTTATGTACAATATACATATTGCATTAGGTTACGAAGAAATATTGGGTCAATGGGCCAAGAAGTGGCAGATGGACTTTAATTTGGATAAATGTTAGATATTGCATTTTGGTAAAACTATCAAGGGCAAGACTTACACAATTGAAAGTAAGGCCCTGGGTAGTGTTATAGAACAGAGACACCTGGAAGTTCAAGTATACAGTTCTTTGTAAGTTGTGTCACAGGCAGATGGGGTGGTTAAGAACGCGTTTAGCATGTTTGCCTTCATTGCTCAGACCTTTGAGTACAGGAGTTGGGTCGTTTTGTTGAGGTTGCACAGGATGTCGGTGGGGCCTCTTCTGGAGTACTGTGTGCAGTTCTGGTCTCCCTGTTATAGGAAAGATAGTATTAAACTGGAGAGGGTTCAGAAAAGTGGTGGATGCGGGTACAGTTACAATGTTTAAAAGACATTTAGATAAGTACACGAACAGGAAAGATTTGGAAGGATATGGGTCAAATGCAAGCAGGTGGGGCTAGTTTAGTTTGGGAATATGGTCAGCATGGACTGGTTGGGCCAAAGGGTCTGTTTCCATCTGGATGACTCTATGACTCTTTTCAAGCATGAGTTGGATGGATTTTTAACCAACAGTTAAAGGGGTCAAGGGTTATGGGGCACAGACAGGAAAGCAGGTAAAGATGGCAGAATTCCTTCCCTAAAGGATTTGTTTACTTGACGTGTCTTTCCCTCAGAGTTGGATCTGGGGGTATTTACATGGAATGACAGACTGATCAAGGAACTATGTACCTCAACCCCATGTCTCCCTGCTTGACTACAATCCTTAGGCCCCCCAAGGATAGCACGGTGGCTCAGTGGTTAGCACTGCTGCCTCATGGTACCAGGGACCCGGTTCGATTCCACCCTCGGGTGACTGTCTGTGTGGAGTTTGCACATTCTCCCAGTGTCTGCGTGGGTTTCCTCCGGGTGCTCCGGTTTCCTCCCACTGTCCAAAGATTTGCAAGCTAGGTGGATTGGCCATGCTAAATTGCCCATAGTGTGCAGGCTAGGTGGATTATCCATGGGAAATGCAGGGATAGGGTAGGGTAGGGGGATGGGTGGGATGCTCTTCAGAGGATTAGTGTGGACTCAATAGGTCAAATGGCCTCTTTCGCACTGTACTTCCAGCTCATTTTGTAGAGCCAACACTGGCACAACGAACTGAATGGCCTCTTTCTGTGCGATAACAGTCCAATGTCCCAAATAACTGCTTGGATGGCGGTGTAATCACAGGTAGACAGGATGGTGTAGGAAGTATTTGGTGCACTTGCCTTCATTGGTCAGACCACTGAGTGTAGGAATTGGGATGGCATGTTACGGTTGTACAGGACACTGGTGAGGTCATTTTTGAAGTACAGCATACAATTCTGGTCTCCCCGCTATAGGAAGGATATTATTACATTGGAAGGGGTGCAAAACAGATTTACAAGGATGTTACCATAACTGGAGGGTTTGAGTTATTAGGACAGGCTGGGACTTTTTTATTCCCTGGAGCGTAGGAGGTAGAGGGATGACCTTATTGAGGTGTATAAAGTAATGAGGGGCATGGATAGGGTGAATAGCAAAGGTCTTTTTCCTAGGGTGGAGGGAGTCCGAAACAAGAGGGCATAGGTTTAAGGTGAGAGGGGAAAGATTCAAAAAGGCATCTGAGGGGCAACTTTTTCACGCAGAGGGTGGTGTGTGTATGGAACGAGCTGCCAGAGGAAGTGGTGGAGGCTGGTACAATTACAACATTTAAAAGGCATCTGGATGGGGATATGAATTGGAAAGGTTTAGAGCGATATGGGCCAAATGCAATTTAGTTTGGGAAACCAGGTCAGTATGGACGATTTGGAGCGAAGAGTCTGTTTCTGTGCTGTATGACTCTAATTGACCAGAAATCCAGATATGCTGAAATGACAATGTAACAAAGCATTAGTTATTGCATTTATGATAACAGGCTCTCACAGATCGCGTACAATACTGTAAGCCTTCAACCAGCACTCTGCACATTCACTCCACTGTCTTCCAGTCTCTTGCTGATTTAATCAACGTTGAAGTTCTCTGTAATCTGGTATGGTGTGGGATTACAGTGAAAAAATCAGAAAATCCACCAGGGCCCCAGGCAGCTCAAACAGAACATTCTCCCCAGGAGGGAACAGCACAAACTTTACCCCGAGGTGCTGAAACATTTTTCTGTTGAAATCCACGCTGTGCAGGAGAGAAAGATTGCACCAAATACATTGGCGAGCAGCGTGAAAGGAATTAATCTTTACACTTTATTTCAACATAACCATCAGAGCAAAATTACAAAATAATCACTCCGCCCTAAACAAGGCTGAGATACTCAGGGGAAAACCTATCTCACCTAGAATTCTCTTCGATACAGACCGGGGGTATTTACAGTGAACTGCGGACTGATCTCTGGCAAATTGCAACAGCAAGAGGTCAGAACCTGCTAAAATATCGACAGCAAGAAAATCTGATTCAATTCTTCCACTCCGAATTGTGGGGCAAGGCACCACAGAAGGATAGTGACGGGAATGGGAACAAAAGGGAAGTGGGTGGATTTGTACCGTGATAAAGGACAGAGAGATACAGGTGGAGCAAGGTATAGTAGGCTGGAGGAGATGGGACTGAGGGAGGAGGGTCTGGGTTTAGGGAGACCTGGGTTGACAGAATTTGGCGAAAAGGTAGATGGGATTGAGGAGAATGTGGAAATGAGAGTTTGAGGAGAGGCTGTGAAACTTGGGTTGGGGTGATAGTGGGTGGATGGGATTGGAAGGGAGTGGAAGAAGGTGTGGGAAGAAGTAGAGAGAAGGTGGGAACATTGGATCAGGGAGCAGGGAGAAGATGGATAGAGAGGAAATGGGTAAGTGGGGGTTGGACCAAGATGGCCGGTTGGAATTGAGAGGCTAGGGGTTGGGTGTAGAGGTTGGGTTTGGCATTTGTGGAGAAGGTTATTCTGGGCAGGGTGGGGGAGGGCGGCATATATGGGTGAACCTGGGGAGGGAGGATTCACAACATGAGAAAGGGGAGTGTTGGTGAGATTGGGGCCTGGGCTCTGTGGTTGGCCTTAAAGGCTTTTTTAAGGCCTTTACCCTGAAATCTGTTCAAAGCTTTCTCTCTGACATCAGGGAGCCAGAGTCAACAAATATCTGCGTGACCTCATCTGTGTCAATTCCCTGGTTTATCGTTGCATATTCCTGCCCTTGGGAGGAGGTTGTCAACAGTTTGAGCAGAGGCATAGATCCATTGGACGGTCAATGCAGGAGGTCAAAAGTCACCGATGCGATACAGGAATGTGAATCCTATAACAGGCAGAGTAAATTTCTGACAATAACCTGCTTCGCTGAAACCTTTAAGATCAATGTCTGCTGCTCCTCAACCATGTCTCTTCCGACCTGGAACAGCTCACCATTGCTAGGCAACAGGCTCTCTGGAAGCGCGGCCATTTTGTCAGGCTTTGACGAACACAGGGGAGACTGTAGGTCACCCACGGTGGTCCCACTGAGCCAGCGCTCAACACGCCTAAAACACAGGCACGCGTTCTGGATGCCCAGGTCTCAAAAAAAAACCCCAGCAGTCAACCCCAGAGCAGTGTTCCCAGCTCAGGCTGGCTCCTGTCGTACGTTGGCTATGCCAGGAGCTGGAAGGGGTGGGGTTGGGGGTTGGGGGGGGAGACTCTCTGGTTCGTTGCAGTGGGGAGGGGACGACTCAGTGACTACTGGCAGGAATTGCACTGCCACTACCTTCCCTGCCCAACCTCCACGCCACACAATTCCCAAGAGGGGTGGCAGGCAGAGGGCGCGCCGTTTGGGCAATATGCAACGCAAGGTTTCGAGGGACGGTCCTGGTGGGTAGACAAATGCACGTGCGTGCGTGCGCATGTGGAGCTGGCCACCCGCTCAATACATTTGCTGATCGATTGCAGGGGGGATGGGGGTGGAGTGCGGAGGTCTTCAATCAATCACGGACTTCCCCTCAGAGACCGTCAGGCTCTGCCAGGCACCAATGTGTCCAATTTTTAATGCCAGGTGAGCAACGGCCAACGTTGGGTAGAATGATTTCAGTCCACACAGGGGGAGTGAGACAAGGGGCGTGTAACCACCCAGAAGGAGGTCACACAATGTACACTCCCTGGAAATGGGGGGGGGGGCAAAGACCCTCACCTCCACTCCCCCAGGTGCTGACTGGCACAGCCAAACCCAACGGAAACTGGCACCTCCGGCGGGTGTCAGCGGGTCCATTTGTCAGAGGCTGTTTCTACATCGCAAGGTGTCTAGAGCATGTACCCACCTCCAAGGCATGGCCAAACCTCCAGGCAGGTGGCAGTGGCAAACTAACCGGGCGGTGGAACCCGCGGTCAGTGGCCCTGGGCAAAACCAGCAGGATGTCTACATGATGAGAGGGTGAGGGTCTGTCACTCAAGGGGGGAGGGGGTGGGGCATTACTGTCTCCTTCCCCTAACCGCGCAGCCAACAAGTCAAGCACTTTCCCAATCCAGCATACACAACGCCCCGGTGCAGTTTGTTTAAGGCGTGGAAAGTCTTGCTTATGTTGAGTTTTTTTCATATAATCTCCTCCCCGGTGTAGTCCTTGACCACCACCCCCGCCCCCCCAACTTTGGAATGCCACAACCTTGCCCCTTGCCCTTTGCTCCCTTATGTCCCTCATTGAATCACCATCATGTTGCCCCCCTCCTCTCAGCGGAAGGAAGGGAGGGAGTCACTGCATCCGGAGTGGGATGTTGGTCTCCGAGGGGCCCAGGAGATGGTCCACATGTGTCGCACCCTGTTTGTTCGGGAGGAGAGGCGATGGAGGGTCACATGTGCCTCTTCATGTGAAGAGCTAGGTGGTCCGACCTGGAGAAAGCCCGCTCACACAGGTGGCACTGGAAGGGACGGTGCCCCGTGTGCTTGCGGTAATGACGGGTCAGTTCATCGGAACGGGCAAACTTCCAGCTGCAACCTTCCCATGTACATTGGTATGGCTTCTCACCTGTAACGGGGAGAGAAAGGCATAAGGTCGTGATACTGAACTGCACGGCCGGCCCTGACAAAAATAAAACAGACATCCAAGAAGGTTTACCTCATCCGGACACGCGCGCAAAAAACAAACGCTAAATTTCAAAGGGAGCAAAAATTTATTCTCAATAACAAAACAGGCGCTGACCAGTTCGCAAATGGGTTTGGGCTGGATGAGGTGTTGCTTTGGAGACTGTATCAGGGAACTACTGCCCCAGCCCATACTTTGGTTTAATTCAGTAACGTGCAATGATTGGATACGTTCTTTTTCACCCTGCAAGGGACAGTCCTGCAAATATATAAATGCAGCTTCTAGCGTGAGTTGGCCACACTGAAACCCTTACTGATAACCTTAAGGTGATTGTCGATGTCATTTCTAGCACACTCGTGATTGTTCAACAAGTGCTGTCCAAACTTAAAATCCCATCTGAATGTGAGATAAGTTCTATCAGTATTCTGCTAATTGTGAACAGCTAAATGGATACAGTGTTTGATGTGACCAACCATACGGCCTACATAACAGCACTGTTTAAGTGTCCTACTGTGTGCCTTCAGGTAAGGAGCCCAGTCAGTTTATGTACCCTGAGGTGATGTCTCTGGTGGGTCTCCTTCTCCTGGCCCATTTGGGATGGTTAATAAATGATGGTCCAGCCAGTGATGCCCCTATCCCCTGAACAAATCATTTTTAAAAATGCCAACTACGAGCTGGGAGCAGCTCACCGTGAGAAAGAGATAGAATACCTACAGTGTAGAAGCAGGCCATGCGGCCTATCGATTCCACACTGACCCTCTGAAGAGCACCCCACCCAGACCCACCACCCCCAACCTTCTCCCTATATACCCTTGTATTCCCCCATGGCTAACCTACCCTAACCTACACATCCCTGGGCACTATGGGACAATTTAGCACGGCCAATCCACGCTAACCTGCACATCCCTGGGCACTATGGGATAATTTCCCATGGCCCATCCATCTTAAAAACTGCACATCCCTGGGCACTATGGACACTTTAGCACGGCCAATCCACCCTAAACTGCACATCCCTGAGCACTATGGGCACTTTAGCACGGCCAATCC